ATTTCTGATCTTACATGAAAACTGCAATGGGTCAAATTCCACCACCGACACATGGCTAAGGAGCCAACAAAGTTATTTAAGGCGCAATGCGCACTGACGCACCAAGGGGGTCTGGAGCCTCGATGTGCGATGCGCCATTATTGTGCACGCATCACGAACATGAGACGCAAGTTGTGGAGTAGTAACATAGTAGCTCTAAATTTTGTGAATTAGCAACAATACACACACACAGATATATATGTGTGTGTGTGTTATTGTGAAAGACATACGCGTAATAAATTTTGTGAATGCAACAAAGAATCAAAGTCACACGAAGTAACATTAACATAAAAAACCTAAACTCATAGTTATGAATGGCGAGTGGCGGGCGAGAGCACAATTTTTGTGGCGAATGGCGGGCGGTCACATGGCGAACATGAAAAACCAAGTATAAATTATATATATACACACACACACAGATATATATATATATATATATATATATATATATATATATATATATATATATATATACATTTTTTTTAAAGAAAACTTTATTGAATGGAAAAAGGAAATACAAAGTGTCGGGTCTGGGAATGCTCAAAACTAACATGCTGAAAGTCTAAAAAACATCAAAAATTTTCCTTCCATTTCTCCAGAACATATCAATCCCCAGCCATTGAAGTCCTCGTCTTTGACTAGCCACTTTTTGTTTCTATTAACCCAACACCATCCCTGCACAACTTTGTAGCATTGTTGAATTAGTGAAGCTGTAGTGGCTGATGTCCCTTTGTGGATGGATGTGTTACGAGCCTTCCAAAGGACCCAAGCAATGATTCCTGGGAGGATGAGCCTTAGGTTTCCTTTGAAGCTTCGGTTGTTGCCACTAAGCCACCAGGAGATCAAGTGTTGACGTAGCTGGTTGCCAATGCGCCTTGGTGGTCCTGAGAGAATGTGTCCAAAGTAATCCCAAAGTTTGGCGCTGCATGGACAGTGAAGTAATACATGGTCCATGGAGTCTTCTCCCGCGTGGCATAAGCTACATCTGCTAGTGAGGGCTAGATTGAAGCGTCTTAGATTATTCGGGAAAGGGAGAGATTTGTTTAGGCACTTCCAAAGGAAAAACTTGATTTTGGGAATTTGTGTCTTGTGCCAAATGAACTTGCTGGTAATGGTGGTGGGTAAGCTTTCCTCTCCAGCTTTGTAGGCTCTGCGAAGACTGAAAGAACCCCCATCCCAAGTTGTGCCTCTTACCGAGGTGTGAGTGTGAGCTGACCCTATGGCATGAACCCTGCATATCCTCTTCCATGAAGGAGAATCTGTTATTTTCTCTTTGATTGATCCAGACTTCATATATTTTGCTCTAACAAAGGGACCCCAGATACTCTGATCGTTTTGGGCTTTCCACCATAGCTTCAGAGAATAAGCTTGTTGTATTTTCTCAAGGTTGCGAATGCCAAGACCCCTAGCTTGTTTAGGTTGACAGATGTGATTCCAGTTTCTCCAGTGGTACTTTGGTCTCCCATTCTTTTGCCCCCAGAGGAAGTTAGCCATTAAGGAATGTAGGGAATTGGATATGGATTTGGGAATGGTTTGCACGGCCAGAATATGAAGGGGAATGGAAGATAGGACGTGTATATATATACATACATACATACATACATACATATATATATATATATATATATATATAGATTTTGGTTCTGGTGAGAATGAGATCTTAGGAGAGAAATGAGAATAAATCTGGTCCCTCCATCTTGATACTCATCTAATGTAACGCACAAGGGCTGGATGGTACTTTCGACTCTCGCCCCTTATTCTCGTTTCCTTTTTTCCGTCTCTCTCGCCCGAAGAATCAGCGCACGAATCTCCTTCCTTGTTGAAGTTGCTGAAATTCAACCTTCTCCTTCTATTCTCGTTTCAATATCACAAAACATCGGAACTTAAATTCGAGGATGCCATATTCGGATGCTGTGTTCATGGATCCGGATTCAGGTTTGTGTTTGAATCCGTCTTCACATTATTCATGGATATTGATTCATTTTATATCATGTATTTTCCCACACCAAATTGTGTTCTAATCCGTCTCTACAACTACACACAGAGTCGGATTCTTCAACGGAACATTTCAGTCAAGCCGGCGACAGTGGGTTCGTTCTCCCTGCCCCGAAAGCTCCAAACCAAGTGTTGGTATGTTTTTTAGAAATTTAGATGAGGGAATTGCATTTTACAGAGAATATGCAGCCCTCGTCGGTTTTGATGCACGAAAAAGCACGACAACGAAGTCTCCCGATGGTGTGATCATATGGCAGTATGTTGTTTGTAATAGAGAGGGTCAAAAGAATGTTTCTGTCACTGCTAAGACTCCAGTTCAAGACGTTGCAGACTCCATTCCAAAAAAAAAGACGATGCATTTCAAACCGCATCGGATGCAAGGCACGTGTAATATTTAGATTGTCTGGGTCAGATGGTTATTCTATCACTTCTTTCAAAGAATGTCACAATCATTCTATGCTTTCCGCTCCTTCAAGGCCTTTCTTAAAAGTAAACAGAAATCTAGATATTGGTCACAAGAAATTCATGTTGAATTGTGTTAAGGCTAATATGGGAATAATGAAGTCCTACCGCCTTTTCGAAGAGACTGTAGGTGGTTACGATAAAATTGGAGCCACGGCTGTTGACTTTAAGAATTTTAGACGAGACCTCAAAGCTTACATTGCTGGCGGGGATGCACAAATGGTTATTGACAAGCTGTTTAGAAAACACGAGACTTGTTCTGCATTTCACTTTGAATACGATGTTGATGATAACGACCAACTTACAAGGTTATTCTGGTGTGATCCTGTTGCTAGGAAAAACTATGCCATGTTTGGTGATGTAGTCTCGTTTGATGCGACTTATGAGACCAACAGGTATTTTGCACGTGCATTCTGCTTCTCATGTGTTTCTTGTATATTCAATCTACTTGTTAGTTCATTACTTTTTTCCACGGTAGTATTTCACGTCTTCATTTATCCATCAAATTTTTATCTCTTTCTGTACAGATACAATATGATATTTGCACCGTTCATAGGCGTCGATAATCATCAAAAATGCATTACATTTGCCGCTGGGTTGATCAACAAAGAAGATGATGAATCTTATGCCTGGCTTTTCCGTTGTTTTCTAAATGCAATGGGTAATGCCCCTAAATGCATCATTCCTGACCAAGACCCTTCTCTTCGAGGTGCCGTGATTCAGGGATTTCCAGGAACCGTTCACCGTTATTGTATGTGGCACATCACGAAAAAGGTTGTTAAGAAGGTGGATGACAATTTGCTTAAGGAAACAGATTTTTTGTCCAAACTCAACGCCATCGTCTGGAGTCACTATCTAGAGCCAGCTGATTTTGAAATGCAGTGGCAAAATCTCATGGCCGAATATAATTTAGAATCTCACAAGTGGTTTACCAAGATTTTTCAGATACGAACCACGTGGATTCCGGCATACTTCAGAGATTTGTTCATGGGAGGGTTACTGCGTACAACTTCTCGTTCCGAAAGTGAGAACAGTTTCTTTGATGATTTTACAGGGCAAAATTTTAGCCTGGTGGAGCTTCTTATGCAGTTTGAAAGTGCCATGGACTCTCAACGTCATAAAAACGTAGACTACAATGCAGACGATGAAGCATGCTACCCAGAGTTTAAAACTCCATTGGATATTGAGAAGCATGCATCCTCAGTTTACACGTTGACTATTTTCTACGATGTTCAAGCCGAGATATGTGCAGCATGCTTCTCTTGCAGAGTACTTCGAGTCGAAGAACTTGACGACGAACACAACCAATACTTAGTCAAGGACAACAGGGGTATGACATTCACCGTCAAATACTCACGCATTCAAGGCACTGCAACATGCAGTTGTAAGCACTACATGCGCATTGGATTATTATGCAGACACATATTTCTAGTTTTCAAGGATGAGAACATTCGTAAGATTCCAGATCTGTATATCAACCCCAGATGGTGTAAAACAAAATTGTTGAAGCCCATGATCAACATCCCCGACATCGATTTTGATGCTGTTACAGCTGTTGAAGGAAGAAAAACAGCATTGAACCATCTGTGGTCGGATATTCACTTTTGTGTTGCAGCTGCTGAACAAAAACCAGACTTATTGGATGGATTTTCAAAGGTCATTCAACAGCAAAAGAGCATCCTCCAAAATGCACTTCAGTCTAATCTTACTTCACCACAAGACCAGATCTTTGAGTCATTCTATGGCACATCTGCACCATCAAACATTACTATACGACCCCCCCAACAAGTACACAACAAGGGTGGTGGGAAGAGAATCAAAAGCGCTTTGGAGATTAGCATAGAGCAAGGAAAGAAGAACAAGCGAATGTGTAAAACCTGCCGTGAGATGGGATACCATGATAGTAGAAATTTCCCACTGAATAAACAGTAATGAATTATCTTATTAAATTATTTCCTCTCGTAGCAAAACTCATACTTATATATACACTTACCAATGCCTTTTGTCTCAAATATTAAAAAGCATTTTTTCCCTATTAGTAAGCATCTAACAGTTCGTTGCAATGCATTCTACGTGCGAATTTGCGCTTGTGTATATCCCATGCTCTCCAAACTTTAATGACGAATGCAGCATGCTACAAATGTACTGCATAACTACTATGCTCAAAACTCATGTAATGTAAACATATGGTTCAACACAATTGTGGTATAGGGCGCATTTATTGATAAATATAATGCATTCTAGTACATTGAGCAATGCGGCCTTCAATGCATTCCATGCTACAATGCATCCCATCCAAATCACATTTACAACTAGAATAAACAGTAGAAATTGCCCACTGAATAAACAGCAATGAATTATCTTATTAAAGTATTTCCTCTCGTAGCAAAACTCATATACTTATATATACACTTACCAATGCCTTTTGTCTCAAATATTAAAAAGCATTTTTCCCCGATTAGTAAGCATCAAACAATTCGTTGCAATGCATTCTACGTGCGAATTTGCGCACGTGTATATCCCATGCTCTCTAAACTTTAATGACGAATGGAGCATACTACAAATGTACTGCATAACTACTATGCTCAATACTCATGTAATGTAAACATATGGTTCAACACAATTGTGGTATAGGGTGCATTTATTGATAAATATAATGCATTCCAATACATTGAGCAATGCAGCCTTCAATGCATTCCATGCTACAATGCATCACATCCAAACCACATTTACAACTAGTTAATGCTTAATGTACAAACAAGTGGGCAAAAAACACACGACCTAAACCATTCCGAAGTAAAATGCAAATAACTCCATTGCCATCTTACCGAAACAATCAATCTCCAAAATCAATCAAAATTATCTATCACCAACTGATCATTCATATCGATGATATTAGTGTTGAAAACTAGATTAAACCATAATACTGTAAAAAAAAAACCAGCAGCAAAAAACAAAAAACCGGTGTGCAAAAACACCAAAGACGTTTCTGCAAATGTTCAATAATGTTTGGTTTCCAACATCAAGTTGCCACGAAATTCTTTGCCTTGGTCATATTCCCCTCCTTCATCTCATTCACCTCTGCCAAAACGATGCAAGCACAGTACTTTAAACGCAATGCATTAAAGGCTTTCTGATCTTCCCTGCTCAAACCACAGTCCCATCCTTTTACGCCAAGCCCCATGTATGTCTCCATATGGCGCATAGTTGCAACACCGTACTCATGTATGGACGTGGGCTCCCTCCAAGGCATTTTAAGCCGTGTTGGCCGCCGTGTAGCTAGCCTTTTCAGTTTTCCTTCCATCCCTTCGTTTTCAAAGAATTGCACAAGCATGTCACGCTGCATAACAATGTTTACAAAAGGATGAGTAGTGAAACACATTACTTTGTCACCGAAAAAAAACCACCCAATGCATTTCTTCAACTAACCAGCATAGCAGGCATCTCGTCGTACTTGTCCTCGGCTCTTATGCATGATGACGAGAGGTCCAACACTTCCAGCCTACTGCCCTTAGTGTTTACACACACACAATAACACCACTTCAATTGCATGACTGGGATAAATATCTGCACCAAATCAAATACATATGAAACCATTTACTCATATAACAAAACATCACAACATCATATGAATTCTAAAGGATGAATACATATCATTAATAAGAAAGCAAATACAATACCAAATCTGCGCTTAATGGGGTGGTAGATGTCCAATAAGCATCCAATGCATCACAAAAATTACTGAATGCAACGTAATCATCAGGAACTGCACCTTCTGACATATATAACTGCCAACCCATAAATGTTAGCACCACATATCAAAAAATGCATAATACCTTTTAAAAAATGCATCAAAATGCCTTACACATTTGAATGACTTTGCATAGAATCTGGAAGGGGAATCCACACTACGGTACAGCTCCTTGTGATTAAGAATGGTAGACCACGCATCAAGCACAAGGTGCGATATGTAATCCCCAGATTGTAGTGTCATCAAATCACCGCGTTTCAACACAACGTCCCCACACTTGAACAACACCTCATCCCTGTGTGTGTACCGACATTTAAAACGCATAATCGTGATACCAAAAAGAATTTCACCCAATACAACAAAAAAATGTATTAATCTTTTCACAAAAGAACTGCATATATTACATTATAATCTACAAACCTGGATGCTTCTGTGTTTTTCATCACCCACTTCCAAATTCGAGTTTCAGTGCTGCTTGCGTTCTCCCTCAGGTCAACTGCACGTTTCATGTAAGGTGACTTCATGAATAATGTTCTTTTTCCCTTTCGCTTTTCCCTCATGCCAGTTGCTTTCTGTAATCAATAAAAAAGAAACATATACACAATGTGCAACTTTTAAAAACATAACACTCAGTATAGATTTTATTTTGCTTAATCCCAGAATCAAAGAATTTACCTGGACTTCATTTAGTCTTTCACCAACTGTTGCATCCACTTCTTTTACATCAACCTTTCCAAGGATACAACATTTCAAACACACACTGGTGCAGCACAAACAGATTACCTAGCATTGTGTGATTATTATGAATATATATTAATACCTGCTCAACAATCTGCTGAACTCTCATATTTTCTTTCTCCTTGTTAACAATATCTGCCCCCACCACAATTTCACCAACCTTCACGAGAAATAAGAATTTCATTATAAACGTTTGCATCAAATCCATATTTCCGTGCATTCTAAGAAAAATTTTAGACAACACCCAAACCTGTTGGTCCAACACCTGCATTCCTTCATCCCTCTCTCCTGTATCACCAACATCCGCTCCTACCACATTCACAGCAACCTATCCAACAAAAACAAACTTTTGTAATCTAATGAACATGCATTGGTAATAGAATGTAATGCATTTTATCCAACGCATAAAAAATACAAAAACCTGTCCACAAACACGGGTTTCCACCGTCGTATCCGTCTCTCTATTCTCACTCCTTGGTGCATCCTCATCATTATATGCCTCATCTTTACCCATCTCCCCTAGTACTTGTGTCATTCCGAGGGAGAAAGACGGGACATCACTCAAAAAATCTTGATATTTTGACTTCACCTCCACAGATCTCTCCACTTCTTCTACAAATGCCATCACCTCTGGGCTGCTCCAATATGCATCATCATCTAAACAATGGATATCTTTCCATTTAGATGACGCGTCAAGAACCGCATCCTTTTTATCATCCACCCCCATCAGCCGGTGTCCTAAACCTCTCAATTTACAAAATCTTTCATCCACAAACAGTTCTCGTGGTGCCTCCTGAAGCATGTTGATCATGTCAATAATTGTGCTTGCTAGGATCTTGCTTTTGGCTACAAATCTCCTCACAAGCACCTAAACGAATGCAGAGAAATAACTACTACTATCACTCAAAGATAACTTTGTTAGCCAAAATTCTAAAGACTATGAGCCATTAATAATCTATATTACCATCTTCGCATTATCCACCTTGGGCTGTTTTCCGGAGGATGTACCGACATGCTCACCGTTTGTAGCGGGATGGCCAACAGCAACCTCGTTCAACAAAATGCGCTTACCTTTCTCTAATGGCCCGTTGTCATGTCCCATTCCAAAACCTCCGCCCCTCACCTCTTTGTTTTCTCTCTCTCTAAGCTCTTTACCTGTCCACCCCTTTATCGCTGGAAATCGCCTTGGCACGGTATCAGTGAAAATAGCGACACGATCAACGTAAAAAACCTGCAAGCATATCAATGAATTAAATTCACTAAAAAGCATCATATTATAGTAATAATGCACACACTAACAACATACCAGCAACAATACGAGTGGCCCACAAAAATACTTCCTGGGATTTTTCTCCCACTTCATCTTGTTGTCGATCAACTTTTCTAGAACATAGTGTGACCAATTTAACCTTTTCACTCTGCCCACATCTCTCAGGTGGTCAAGGGCCAAACTGTTAACATACCCATGCGACGTACTGTCAACCAAAAGCGACATCACTAACAATACAAAATGTCTAACAAACCATTCACCTCCCTGCTTACACCCAAGCATCTCATCAGCTAACTCCGTTGGGGTTATTCGGTTATTAAACTTCCCAAACTTCATCCTCCACTCGCTCAACAAATCAGTGTCTCTGTTGCTCTTATTATTCTCAATCTTGACACCACCATACGGCAAGCCAAGTACAGAATGCACATCACACGTAGTCATGTGCATCTTGGTACCATCCGGCAGCACCAAACTACTACTCCGAGCATCAAAATTCTTCACCAGCCAATAACCTAATCTCCCAGGCAGCTCTAGAATATTCATTCCCAAAATTGAACCAAAACCAATCCTCTCTACTTCTTCCCGCTGCAAATCATTCAGCTGCTTCATCATCTTAGTAATCAAGTGTGGCGATGACCTTGACTTCAACCTAGGATATGGAGCCTTCATATCTGCTAATTTGACTCTCTTTTTCTTCTTTCCTGCACTTTTTATAGGAATGTGACAGACTTCAATAGCGGTGCTATGTCCACTTCCTGTACCCCCCTCTGTCTCAGCTTCATCATCCTCACCTACATCATTATAAGTCTCACCATCATCATCATATTCTGCAGGTGCATCAGCAGACTCGTCCTCATGCTTAGAAGCTCCATCCTCCTCACCCTCATCTTCACCTTCCATTTCATTATTTCCATCATCACTTTCCTTCTCATCCAAGATATCGTCACTGTCATCATCGATCTCCATGCGCATAGGTTTATTGATTCTTTCAATCTTCCATTTTACATTCCTCAACCTATCACTACGTCGAATAGGTGTTGCTAACGACATTGATCTTGAACCACCACTCACTTGCAATGCCCTTTCAGCATTCACAGCATGCATTCCTGCAACATACAAAAAAGAATCAAAAATTTAAAAAAGGATCTTATGACAGTGCAATGCATCGCAGTTTCTTAAAAATGACATTTACCCAATCCCTTATCTGGGAGGATGCTGTCAGGATCAAACAAAATGATCAACACAAACCCACATTGGATGCATTAAAATAACCA